TTAGTGATGGAAAACTTGAAGATCCTTGGAGAAAATAAAAGGGATAATAGTTTTTTTTTTTTTTTGGATATAAATCATCTGTTTTCGTACAAATAAAAAGGATAATTAATTTGAGCATAGTGAAGAGCTAGTTGATGAGGTGCACGTGTGATGAGTCATATAATAACGCGGTACGTGTTGCTGCTAATCTATCGCCATCTTCCACTCAAAGTTAAGGACTCGAGAGGGGCAGACTCCTCACAGGCAAAATATATATAATGAAAGAAAAAAAAGGAAGGAAGGAAGGAAGGAAGAATCCTCCACAGGCAGAGGCCATAGGTGGACGGTTCCGCCAAGGAATCGATACCACATACTTCAAAGAGTCCCCACCACCCACCACCGTTCTTGATGCGGTGGCACACTTTGACGCGTAGTCATTGAGCCACCTGGCCCGTCATCGCTCACGCAATTTTGACCATTTGTAATTTTTCATTACCAAGAAAAGAAAAAAAATATAAAACTAAAGGGCTGAAAGAGACACGGCAAGTTACGTGCTACAAATCTCCTTCGTACAAATACTAGTTGAGTTCGACTAAGAAAAAAATATATAAATAATATATATATATATATTGAAGTCATGAAAGGAATGCAAAATACCAGAAAAAACGGTTAAGGAAGGAATCAGCAGCCACATGTCAGTTTCGGATCTTTTCCTTTTTGTGAGTTCCAACACTTGTTCGATGTGTTTTCCTTGCTTTTGATTGTAAGGACTTTTAGATCACAGTCAAAGTTGGAGGGGTCTATAATAAAAGAAGTAGTAGTACTGGTATAAAGCAGCTTTCTAATGAAATCTACTTCGTCCTTTGTTGGAATTTTCAGTGTGATTACATTTACAACAGTAGTGATTGTAGATAAATCTCGATTCAGAAAGAAATAGTAGTGTGTTTAAATCAAAGAAATTCAATTTGGTGACCCTTAATTTGACTCTTAAACTTAAACTCATTCTCATTCTTATTCTATAATATAATATAAGGTTTAAAGTTTCTTTTGAAATGAAAAAGAAAAAGAAAAAATTGAAAAGCATTTGACAAAATGTCTTTGGATGATGTTTTTTATCCAACACTCAGAAGACAGGATCCTTTGGGATAATGTTTAAAAATCCGTACAAAACGAGAGGTGCATATTTTTGCAATTTATAGGTTACATATATCGGAAACAATAAATAAAGGATAACGTTGTAGTTTGCCTTTCTTTTCTTTTTCTTTTTTTTCTTTTCCCTTCTCCTTGAATTTTGAACTGGGTTGCTGCATAATGATTAATTGATGAACTTTTTTTTTGATAAATGCAAATTTTATTAATAGATAGTTGAAAATTATCCAGCACAATTTGATTTATACCGCTGTTCTAATGGCAGATTAATAAATGTTGCATGACAATGGTAATTTGTCTCCCCTTAACAAATAATAGTCAGCCCAATTCCAAATTTCATCACATCTTACGTTTCCAAACACTAGATTAATTAAACATGGGGAGAACTTTTTTTCTTGAAAAGACGTGAACTTATCACTTTTTGTACTCCTCTCCTCCTCCCATTTGATAGTCCTGTTTTCCTTTTCGTCTATTCCAAATCATAGTTTACTTTCCAATTGAAAATGTAGTTGTATTTTAATTTTCCTAAAATACCCTTATTCAATGTAAGTTGTTGTTACTATAAACCTATCCCATTTAATAAGAGTTTATTTTTTTTTTTACCATCAATTCAAGTTTCCATAAAGTTGTACTCTAATTAATATGAGGGTATTTTAGGAAAATAGCTACCTAAATTGATTGTTTCAACAAAGTTAACTACTTTTTCTTAAATTGTGTGAAAAAAGAACTAAAACTATCAAAGTGGGACGGAGGGAATATCAAATACCAAAAAGGAGAATCACATTTATTTCTCTAAAGCCCAAAAAAGACTAATCAGAAAGGTAAATTAAATATTGCCAAATTTCCCATTTATTTGCTGTTCTAATTTCCTTGTGCTTTTGCCCTTTACCGTTTCCTAACGGGATGTTGCATGTAACCACTAGTATGCTTGGCACTAGTTTGTACTTCACTAGAAAAAAAGTTTGGATGGTTTGGCTTCGAGCACCATTGCAGGATCAGGATATACTTTCAGATCTATAGCTCATTTATAGAGGTCGCTTGTCAATATAGTTCTCGTGTCGACAATGAGATTCAAACACGCTAAACAGAAGAAGCGGACGTTCTTACTAATTGAACCATGGTGTACTATTTACTTAGAATGTTAGACCATAGCTATAGAAAGGTCTTCAATTAAGAAAAAGGAATCTTTGCACCGCCAAGGCACACCAATAATGAATGGGCAAATTTGTCATTTTAATCTGCAAAGACAATTTAGCTTTCAAGAAAGTGAAAAGGAGGAAAGGACGGAAGAAGAAGCATCAACAAAAATTTGGTAGTAAAGAAATTAAAAAGTCAACATAATGGAGCATTGATGAGCTGCGCATGCTTATCAACTTGAATGTGTCATTTAACGTAAATTTGATGCTCTGAATTTGGATGGCAAAGATTTTATGGCAAATAATCTCAACAAATTTTTGTGGCAAATGAGGATAAATCCAATCCTCTTAGGTTTTGTATAAGAATAAAAGTACTGCACAACATAATAAGTTCATGGATTCTACTCAATTACTACATTTGTATGCCTCAAACAATTTAATTAGAGCAACTTATTATGGATGTGAACTAAAAAAAAAAAAATTAGTAATATACGTTTATCTGCATAGGAGATTATTTGAAATATTTTTTTTGAAAAAAAATAATGTAATGTTTTTTCAATGTGATATATATGAAACATAAAGATTTTTGAAAATGTATTTATGATACAAGTGGATAAATTTGTATAAATAAAATAATGTAATGTTTTTTCAATGTGATATATATGAAACATAAAGATTTTTGAAAATGTATTTATGATACAAGTGGATAAATTTGTATAAATAATTTGCTATACAAACACATTGTGCAAGAACACCTTCTTCTGATGTCAAAAAAAAAGTATTCTATTAAATTCAAAATCTGGTAGGATTTAAAATATCTGTAGGTTAATTGAACTATGCAATACTGATAATACTTGTAACGAAAATAAGTTGATCCAAGATATGTCCTTTTACTCATGCCATCATAGTTTTCCTTCTTTTTTGTCATTTTCCTTTCAAAAATTGCATTCAACCAATACTTAAAAAGATTCTACATGCCATCATAGTTTTCCTCCTTTATCTTCTCACCCTTAAAGATTCCAACAAGGACAAGTAACAACAATTAGGACAAGCAATATCAATTATTTACATTATTGACTACTTTGCTAGAAAAAGAAAAACATTATTGACTACTTTTAGTGCATTTTTTTATAACTAACAAAAATCATTTCATTGATATTAAAAAGATCAGCACTACAATGCACCATATTGAAATCCTTATTGACTACGCTTTAGTTAATTATGACTATATTGGCATTCTATCATTGTCTATTAATTATGACAATTAGCAGTATTCAACAAAGGGAAATGTTTTTTTTTGTTGTTGTTAATTTCACTTTTCTTTCTGTTAATCGTACTTCCACTATCATTTTTATTATATAATTTTCATTTATCAAATTATATGATAAAATAAATAGCGCAAATACGATTAATAAAAAGTGAAGCGCGATTAACATTTCTCAGACATCATCAACCAAAAAGAGAGAGGAGTAAACATTGCACTAATTGCTCAATTGATTCATCCATACACTGGAGCAAAAGTCATCCCACCCTAAGAATCCCATCCCATCTCAAATTCACACATTTCTAAGTCTCATCAAGGCATTTCCCATGAGCTCAATATTCATGTAGGGTGCATGTTTCACGTGCCTCCAAGCCCCAACTACTCGAATAAACAATGGCAATGCATACTTATCCTCCACCCTAGCATTGCCAAATTGTTTATGGGATTTTCTTTCAGGTTCTTAATTGATGAAACCACATTTTTTTGGTTAATTAAAACCTACCAAAAAATTAGAAAAAAAAAAAGAAGACAAGAAAAAGGAAATAGGTTTTTTGTTAGATGGCTTCAAAAACCATTCCAATTAGTCATCAATGGCACCAATGCCCACAATCCAAACCCACTTAATAGACCAACCATTTCAATAATGTCAAAATCATTTCTTTCTAGTATCAAAACAAAAGGCCACGAAATCACAAACAAGAGAAACCAACCACTCAACGATAAAGCCCGAAAGATCGCCACCGTTGAATCCAATCGGACGGACCACAACGAATCCCACCCCACTAAACTCTTGGAGCAATAAGAAAACCCCTCCACCAAGAAACCGCATTATATCAAAGGGCGGCTGACCTAATTCATGATTCCGCGAACCAAGACACATAGCTTTCCACGAACCAATCAGCAAATGACACGTAATGGGAGTGATACCGCCTTTCTTTCTACCAATCCCACGAGGCGGCCACCGTGGGCCCCATTCATCTGGAGTTACCTCGACCGTCCAAAAAGACTTTCCCAAAATAACAACAATGCAATGCTCAGAAATTTAAAGCATCAAAAGACTCTTTTTTTTCTTCAAAAAAAAAATTACATTATAAAATATTATTCCATTCCATATATAAACAGCATAAAAGTATTTTCAAGGGGTACATTGTTATCCCATTGCTAACCCTACTACAAAACCATATTTACATCTTTACCATAAACTATTAAGAAATATTAAAAAAAAAAATGTAAAAAAAAAATATAATCACTCCCTTAAATTAAAGCCACTGTATTTCATATTCAAACTATAGTCTATAATAGCTTATTTTCTAAGTCCAAAAGTTCTTCTAACTTCTGTTTTCACCCTTTAGTCCTCCACATTGTTCTTATTCCCACTTGCGCCCCCACATCTACTTCCACCATATTTCTATTAGCGGCTGCTTCTATGTACAATAAGAGTAAGCTGAACTCCTCCAAACATTGGCCTTTTTGAGGTGAAAAAGCACTATAGCTGTTTGGAATGGACCTCCTGACCAGTACCATTCTGATATCTAAGGTGTAGTATAAGTTGTTGGGGTATTAAGCTAATTAAGACATATAAGCAGGGGCTAATATTCAATAACTATTCCTCCAGTTGGGGCTCTGTGGGGAATTCCCTTCCTTCTCTTGGCTGTTCTGTAATTAACAGCAGTTGGAGGTGGGGTTGATGGACTAAAGCTCTGAACCTTCCCATTGCTACTGCTCGGGCTCTTGTGCCTTCCTCCATGGCTGCTGCTGCTATAGGAGTCCTCAGAATCAGAAGCTGCCGCCATCAGTGCCGCCCTTTTCTTCTCAGGGGAATGCTTCTTCTTCTTCTGGAAATTCTTGGATGTCCCCACAATCTGAAAAAAATCAAAACCAACCATCAAGTTTATATTAATCAAAACAATGACTACTATTCAATTCTTTTTGGTCTTTACAAATTACCAAAAATCTTGACTTTAGCGTTAATGCCAAAATAGCCTCCAATGTCATTCATCAATTTCACAATTTACAAGAAACTCTGCCCATTGATCTCAGAGACACCCATATTTGATTGGAACAATTCAACTTTTGGGATGACATTAATAATGGAAAAGGATCCTGGGTTCCAATGGAAATTGATGGACATTTACCTTGCAGCCAAGAGAGCAGAATCTGAAGGAATCAAGAAGGCTTCTCTCACAGACTTCACAAGTATTGGTGACGCCTTTGCCAGGCCTAGGCTGAGGCCTCTCATTTAAGAACACGACTTTGGCACTGTTGATAATGTAGGTTTGAACCGATGAGATGTCCAAATACTTTTGAATCTCATTCACCCTGATCACATCATGGTAGGATGACCTCCTTATCTGTTCATCATCAGGCCAAAAAAAAAAAAACACACAAAAACAGCACCGGACGTCAATACACATTCAACCCTTTTAGGCTGATTCAAATCGATACATTCATCAGCAGTGAAACAAAAATGACTCAACACATTGAATACAAAAATGCCATTTCTGAAGTCAACGGTTCAAAAACTGAAAAGGGATGCGGAAATGAAGCTAAAAGATTATTGTAAAGAAATTGGACAATACTAGAAAAAGGTGGAAATTGAAGGATTTGGGAATTTTCTTTCTAATGCTATTAGTAGCAAAAAGAGGAGGACTGATACAAAAAGCTGCAACTTTGACAAAAATGGCAGAAGCCCAGATGCCAAAATTGGGTAAAAAAGGAGGAAAAACCAAAGAAATTCCACCAAAAATCGTTGAAATCAAACCTGAATGGCGCGATGGTCCTTGTGAGAGGCCAAACAGAGAGAACAGAGAGCCCCATTCATACAGTCCAAGCAATACATATTGCATTCGCTCTTGTGAGAATCAGCATGCATTTTGCATTGGACAAAGAAGTGTTCCCTCAACAAAGGCTTCAACCACGGTGGCCATCTGTTATCCTCCTCGTCAGGCCCTCCAGCTCCCTACCAGAAACCAAGACCAGAAAAGTCAGCCAAAAACAGAGCAAAATTCCCATTTTCTCAAAAAAAACTCCAAGATTGCTGTACAAATTCAGTTAGTATTGAAAAATGGCAATACCATGATGCGTCTGTTTTTGGGCTTGAATTCGCGGGGAACAGTTGATTCTTGATTTTCGATCGCCAGCTTGAAAGTTTCGATGATTTGTAGCAAATGCCTAAGCAAGGTTTCTTTTCTTCTTCTTACCAGTAGTTGCAATATGTCTAAAGAAGAGTGGACTAATTTTCTTCTTCTACTGAATGCATTTATGGACTTCTCTTGGGTGAGGAGTGCTGTTTTTATTCTAGTGTGTGTTGTGCGTGTAAGTGTTTGAGCGATTTCGTGTAGAGAGAGAGAGAGAGATTGTTGGGTTAAGGAGAGGGGTTAAGAAAGTGGAGGCGGAGAGAGGGAGGAGGGTACTTGTAGAGAAAGTTGTAGAGAAAGAGGGAGGGAAGGGGTCTGGTATGGGAATGGGGTGGAGGTGGGGAGTAGAGGGGGTAGGGTTGTTCTTATCCTTTCAAAGTCATATACACGAGCAAATTCCGAACCAAAGTCCGAGGCAAAACCAAGAGATACGTTGGGTGCAAGGAACCGACCTCCTTCTTTCCTTTCTAGTATTTATTATTTGCACTTATTTATTGATTATTTTTTCCCCCTTTCATTTTCATGTGTTACATATTCACTCTTAGGTCTTATCATATAATTTTTATTGTCTTTTACTATTTTTCATTGATTTTAGTTAATTTGTGTTTCGGTGTTTATACGGTGAATGGATTTACATGTAGTTAATTTGTATTTACATTTTTTTATTTTTGTTGATTTTAACCCATTTGGATTGCTATTTTTTGAAGTCTTCCCAGAAAGAAAGAATGTGTCACAACTATTTGATGCATGTAAGATATATAAAAAAAAAGTGATTGACAAATGCATTGACGAAAAACGTAAAATTCTTTTCTTTAGAAAATAACAAGCCAAATTAACAAGTGAATGAGTTTTATTTTGGAAAGACATTTTCTCCCAAAATATTTGTATATTTTTCATAAATACATTTTCTAATTACCTTTTCACCTCACACATATCAAATCGCAAGAATATATATATATATATTTACAGAAACTCCAGAAAATAAAAATCCAAATGGATACTTTTCTTAGTGGTAGGAGATAGAGGGTTATTTGGAGAACCACAGTGATGGTGAGGAAGCAATATTTTAATGGCACGAGGATTTGGTTTTTGGGGCAATGAGTTGGCGCATTATTCCCTTTTGCAAATGCGGCATCTTCGTCTATAACTAGAATGAATGGGTGTCTATTGGTGGTTATGGCAAGTTACAAAGAAGCCATCTAATCTTGATTTGTTGAATTGTTATGGTTTGTCTGAGAGTCTTTTCCTCATTTAATTTGATTCAATAGAGTCTCACTTTCTCTTTTGTCCATGTTTTTACTTTAATTTGTGGGCTGAATATTGGTAGTGCTTGAAATTTGCACAATTTGGGGTAAATGGGGTGTGAGGATTTCCGGTGACTGTGAAATAGCGGCGATGGATCAACACCTCAATAAAATGCTTGGGACAAAAGGACAAACTTGGACAAAGTCAAAATGAGTCGAATAACGCCTTCCCCCAAAAAAAGAAAAATAATTATAATTATAAAGAAAAAGATGTACCGAACATTGCCAAAGTAGTCCTCTCCGTATTTCAGAATCTCAATTCAGCCCCCATGATTTAATTTACAAAATGAAGTCTTACAATTCTAATGCCTTCTTACAAATAAAAATGATAGAAGGATCTCCAAAATGAAGAAGAAATTAGAGGGAAGAAACAACGGTTATTGTGTGCCGATTTGCTGAAGATGGCAGTTTGGATTCTGATTTTTCACAGAAAAATTTTTACGTTTTTTACGAACGCATTTTAATCAACTTTTTACCTAACACATATCAAATCGTTATGATATATTTTTCTACAAAACTCCTAAAAATACCAATTCAATTTGACACTAATGTTGATAAAGGAGGCACAAAAATGGAATTTTAATATTTAAGCCTAGAACTTGTCAGTTATTTTGATTGTACTCCAAGTCTTTTTTTTTTTTTTGTTAATTGTCTAAAGTTATTATGAAGTGAACAAGGTAATTTAAATTCTGTGGAATTCAAATCTGTCATTTGAAATTCATTCCCTCAATTTCAAATCCACTAATCCATAATAGCAATCAAAATTATATTTTAGAACACTTTTAGTCATTTAAGCAAAAAAGAAAATCAAAATTCCATGGATTTTCCCTCGCCATATGAGGCATGCATACTTAAATCGGGTTTACATCAGTTTCGCTCGTGTCTACGCACCTTCTTTTTTGTTTGAACTTTGATCAGAAAAGTATGATTCTCATCAGTTTTGTCCTGGAATTAACAAGGACGCCAACTGGTGATTCTTTTTCCTGTTCGACCGATGACCAAATATGCGGTTAAGGACCGCAAGGGTATAACTTCAAAATTATGCAGATCATATTCTCCTTTGTAAATGTTGGAGCTCAATAACCATTTCGAAGACTAATAGCATTCTCTAAAAAATGGCCAAGTATTCCAAAAAAGACCACTTGCTTTGAAAAGTCATTACAGAGTCTAGACACATCTAAGAAGCATATTCCAAAAAATCTTCACATTAATCTATCCAATTTCGCCATTTTTACCACGTGGATGAATGGTTTGGATTTTATTTTTCTGGGACCAGGCCAAGAATAACCTTGTTTGGAAAGCAACTTTCTATCAAATAATTTCTACGTTTTTAGTGAACACATTTTTCAATCATTTTTTTATCTCATATATATCAAATCGCTACAATATATTTTCTACAAAAATTTCAGAAAATTGCAATCTAAACCGAACCTAATCATTTTCCTTTTTCTCCAGTTGTTTGTTTTATTTATTTATTTTTACACTTAGATCCTGTTTGATATCCCAATTCAGTACTTAAATTTAATGGATTCAGATCTTAAAATGTTTAGACATATTTGATAATAAAAAATAGAACATTTGAATCAATTAAGCAACACTAAATTTTCTAGAGAAAGTTTACTCCAAAAAAAAAGTGATAAACTATTCAATTATCACTTAATGTGATATATACTCAAATGTATCAGATTTAGTACTTAACAATTTAATCACTTAACGGATTCGGATTTCAAATTTCAAATTTTCGATTTCAATTTTGTCAAATGCACCCTTAGATATGATAAACACTAATAATTGGTCTAATATTTACTTTCTCCTCCTAGCAGCATAGAAGTAGTAATGCTAAAAGAGTATCGCCTCATTTTTCAATTTCCAATAATTCCTCCGCACTATGTTTTGATCATATTGTTAACAGTTAAAGACTATTAATTGGATCGCGACCTAAGGATAAAGTGCAAGTTGTGCAGCCAACAAGAGGAGCCCTTGAGCGTTTGGTCCAATTTCGGTGAAACGGGAGGTACTTTAAAGAAAAAAATCTAGGGTGTTTGCACAAAAAATCATACAGCGGAGGCAATATTAAAATTTTATAAGTAAGAAAGGCACAAGAGGAAACAAAATATTCTACTTCAATTCACTAATTTCTCTCAACTACAAACTTAGAACTCCAAGTTCTTAAATAGAGAAACATAATCACAAATGTTATTCTAATTATAATACAACAACATGACTCAATTTATTTTCTAAATCAATTGTGACATCAAATCTAATATAGTTACCAAAAAAAAATATAATTCTAAAACTACTAAATTTGCAAATATTGTTTGGTTTACAATATGTCAATAATGTCTCTCTCGTATCAAGCTCTAGTAGTTGTCATCTCCAATGACATTACGAGTTTCAGTCAACTTTGCAGTCTTTGTAGTAGTGTGACTCAAGTGCAACTTGTAATTGATACCCATCTACATACTTATGCATACTGTATACAATTTTGTTGCTAATTCTTCTAGATCAAAAAAGTCATCCATATTAATCTATTTGCAATTAGAACCACCATATTTTCTTGAATAACAATCCACGTAACTTTCAATTAATAAATCATGCCTTTCATAATCTTTTTTACGATAATAATTTTTACCATTGACAAATTCTCTATCTATGGCAATTCAAAACAATTTACGTACTTTCACAAAATTTTTCTTCCCTACTTGAATTTCTTGACTTCCCTGGCTCCAAACTTGATCAAACACTATTGTGACAATCAATAATCTGGCAGGATCTTTTTCCCTGATCACTGCACAATACCAACAATCTCAACAGAATTCCTTTTTATGGACTTCTGTTCAATTAGGGTCACTTTTCCCTAATTTCAATCAATGAATGAGTACTCCAAGACCAATTCTCATGATCCAATTCTTCAATATACGAGTACTCTACCACAATCTCTGTATCCTTCTATGGTACAAGTTCCTCTATCAAAAATTTTGTACACCCTCCAGGTTCCACAAATATCCCAAAATCAAACTCTTGAATATTGGATTCTGATACAACTTATTAGCATAAAAAACCACGCAGTGGAAGCAACATTTGCCAAACACAGGTAGCTTCAACCCTCCAAAAAAAAAAAAAAAACCTACATACGGTCTTTCTTCGTTGCAAAATGTTTCCTAAAATAGCGATTTAATGTTCTTTACAAAGATACCCATAATTATGAATTATGACTGTTGTCACCTATTATAGTACTCAATTCAGTGAATGTTTGTGTATTTTTCCCCATAATTTGTGGTACTACTTTTTAACACTTTTCTTGCATTATCCTCCAAAAGAGTGGACTCTCTTGGACTACATGTGAGTTGTTTCATACAACATTTGGAGAAAATTGCGGATTTAACAAGCTAGACAATAACAGCTTTTTGCTTGTCCAATATCTTAAAGTGTACCAAAAAGCTATTCATGATTAAGTCTCATTAATTGTAATTTTCTCCAAAACCACAAAACCTTATGTTAATTACCTTCATTCTTATCAATGACATGTTTAGATTTTTTTTTTTTTTGGATAAAACAGAAGTCAATATTATTAATACATTAATTAAAAATTGTTGAACGCGATTTGTTTAGATTCTATTTTATACTGAAGTGAAAGCTTAATTTATGTATTCCAAGAGATAAATTTACGACCATAAGACATGGAGTACCGACTCCAGACATATGAATCTTTCCTGAGGTACTAACTTTGTTAGGAAGACTAGCCTTTCAGTTTCTGTCTCCTTTTATTTTTCTTTTCAAATTCCCTCCTTTTAAATCCCACTTTTTTCTTGCTGAAAAAATTAAAAAAATCTTTTTATTTTATTGTTTTCGTGCAAAATATATTTGTACAAACTTAGAAGGGTCCAAAAAATTTCCAGCAAAACAATGTCCCGTCAATCATTATTAGCAAAATTACAACATCTTCTGAAGCCTACAATC